TAAGTAGGGCAAAATCCAGAAAAAGTAGATCAAAAATACTCCAATGGAGTATAAAATTGTCACCAGGATTCCGGAATGAGACGAATGTTAACTCGTGAAACCTCGGTAGATAAGGTAGGTCAGAAAATCCGGATTAATCCGAACAAGGTTCGGGAATTTCCGTCATAAGAAGTAGGTCAAAAATACTCCAATGGAGTATAAAATTGTCACCAGGATTCCGAAATACGACGAATCGAATCGGCAAACTTCGGTACAATAATGAAGTGCATAAAAATCGTGAAACAGGTGTCAGGGGCTTCCCCTCATCTTTCCATAAATGGTTCTAAAAGCCTTATATGGATCTATCACGTGACATTCAAAATGACGTTCCTATATGGTTCTATGGGCCTTATATGGATCTTTCGAACACGTGACCAAATCAAAATCAAAATCAAAATTTTACCTTGACCATTGGATGGGATTTCATAGAAAATATCAAAGAAAACATATTCTCGTGATCCTTAAATCACTTAAATTCGATCATTTTATCTTTACCCCTTGATGGAATTTTATGAAAGAAGTTATGAAAACACATCATCATGTAAGGGTTTTCACCTAAATTAGCTCGTTTTATCTTGACCCTTCAATTGAATTTCATTGAAAAATGTTTCATGAAAAATATCATGTTATGATTTGTATTAAAATAAATAAGACCGTTTCATTTAAATACTTGCTGGATAATATTTCATTAAAAACGCACTTTGAAGATATTTCAGGATTTGCCTTAATTTATCAATGTAATGTAAGTATTAGATTGACTCTCAAATAGGGTTCTATTTTAACTTTTTTTTATTGAAATTAATACTAGGCAGGACTCACTCTCTAAATAGCTAATAAAAATTCAACCCTTGGATGTGATTTCGTTGAAAAAAAAATATGACAAGTCCAGAATCAAATGATTTGTCCAGAACCTCTTAAGATCCTGATTTACCACTATTACGCCATGTGTTAGAAAGATGGCAACGTATATAGACAAACGTGTATACATGTACATCTCAAGGAGGACTGCCAGAGTGCAAGATCGATATTCTGTTCCATATATGGGCATGTTATGATACAAAATTCGAATTCAAACAGCCGACATTTTGTTCACTTCAGAATTTGAATCTTGAATTTTGGTCTTAATTCCTGACGAAAAAATACCAAAATTCACAATAAATGATCGAGATAATGGTTCGAATCTTTTGAACTGTTATTTTGAATTTTTAGTGGGTTTTAATTTGAGGAAATAACGACATTTCGACGTTTTCATTATTGGAAAATATCGAGGGTCAATCCTGGGAGCCAATCCTCCTTATATTTGTTTGGAAGTACAGTTTTACGTCAGAATGTGGGTATACCAATGGGTACAGATTGTGCTCCTCTTTTAGCAGATCTTTTTCTATTCTCATATGAGTATACGTTTTTACAAAGGACAATGAAAGATAAAAGTAAATTTCATATTGCAAAGTTATTTAAGAAGACAGATCGATATATTGATGACTTGTTGAGTTTAGACAACACAAAATTTAAAGACTTTGTAGGTGAGATATATCCTACTGAGCTAGAATTGAAAAAAACTAATGAATCTGATATGAGTGCACCTTATCTTGATCTTCTTATTAACATTGAACCAGACAAAAGTATATATTGTAAATTATATGACAAAAGAGATGACTTTAATATTGACATAGTTAACTTTCCACATTTGGATAGCAATATTCCACTTTACCCAGCATATGGGGTTTATGTATCCCAGCTTATTAGATATAGCAGGGCATGTTCAAAATATCTAGATTTCAAATTAAGACACCATATTTTAGTGATCAAGCTGTTAGGTCAAGGTTATACTTGTAAAAAACTTAAGAAATACTTTCTGGGCTTTGCTGAAAAGTACAAGTCATTAATTTCGAAATTTCAAGTTTTACCACTTGAGATGCTGAAGGATGTAGGAATGGCATAATTAAATTGGCAATGAACTCACAATTTTTTCACTTGGCACCTTTTGAGGTGGACGCCGGCTATGGCATTAATGGTTGAGAAATAGGGATCGAAACCAGCCATAGTTTTCTCCTAATGACCATTGTGAATTGTTGTGTTTTTCGGATTATGATGACGGCTTTTCGAACGGATGTTGACCCTTTGAATTGCCTATGGACTTCGAGACTGGATTTTATCTATCCCACATCTTTTATGAGTACTAGTATCTACAACTACAACTATCAATTTTTTCAATTTTTCTTCAACATGTATTGTAATGACTTCAGTATGAATGGAATGTCCCTTGGTGTTCTGGTCCTGGATTGTGATATTGGTTCTCGATTGGAGGGGGAGGGGGATGTTAGACATTGTTTCTTTTCACGTTAGATTATGGTTTTGGGATATATAGGGTCTACTTTTCTTATGACAGATTTACACTTACAGTTTGCTTTTCTTGTTGGGTTTCTTTAAAGTTTTTAGTCACCCTTCCCTTTGGCATTTGTGCTTATACAGGGTGGTCCAAAAAAAATTGGAACATTTGATAATTGAACTCAAAATCGTTATTTTTTCTCTAAAATGCACCATAATTTTACTGAGCATTGTTCAATCACTTATTTATCTGATGTAAAGTTTATAGGTGCAAACAACAAAGTTAATGCATTAAACTAGAGAATGTTTGATATGACCCCCCTTCTCCTGAATTACAAGTTGAAGCCTCGGACTCAGTTTTAAATGATTCATTCACTTTGCTGTTCGTTTGATTTTGTCCAAGCCATCTTGATTAGAAATTCAGCTTGAACAAACTACTTATATGTTTGCCTTGGAAGATCAAATATATGAACATATTCAACATTTTTTTTACCCAAATTGATGGGTATCAAGCATATTTTGATGACTATTGTTGGATATATTATACTGATTGAATATTCTCCAGAAAGAGGCCAGGGCAGTCTATTTTGACTGGTAAATAAACCCCCTCCCCTTTCTTGTTCTAATATGAATAATATTCATTGAACATATCAATATATGTATATCAATATCATAAAGGAGTTTCCCAGAACACAAATGATATGTTACGTATGCTTAGAGGTGGTCTTTATTAAAGCCTTGTAAATAACTAGTCAGTTTCCCCTCTACTGAAAAGTGGAAACAATGATTTTTGTCAGTTTAGTAGCTGTATGGGTTATGCAATCACTCACCTCTGACATGTTCTTTCTTTCCTACTCTTAAATAAAAATAATGATTTGGGGCATGCTTAAGTTGACAATAATACATTAGTTTTCCAGTAAACCAAAGATGTTAATACCTCATGTCAACTAAATATGATTTTATATAATGTGTATAGCAATCAACATGTTCATTAAAGCTTTGAAATAAAGAATACTTGAAAAAGTTGCTGCGAAATTGACAAGTGTATATTTAAGAAAAGGGGGTCATATCAAACATTGACTAGTTTAATGCATTAACTTTGTGGTTTGCACCTATAAACTTTACATCAGAGAGATAATTTTGGTGTATTTTAGAGGAAAAATAAAGGTTTTGTGTTCAATTAACAAATGTTCCAATTTTTTTTGACCACCCTGTATATTCGTATATGGACAAATCATCCACTGCCATCTTTCTATGGACCAGGCACCAATGATTGATAGCCCATTTAGTTCTGCTTCTGAAACATGTAGAATATTGGCTGTTTTTGTTACTCAGTAAGTCTCAATGTTTTTGCTAGATGCATTGAACTCCAATGCAAGGAAACGGGAGGTTTTGTAAAGTTTCCAAACAGTAGCAGAATATGAAAATTATTATAGTGGCAGGGTCGATTTTGAATGAGGAATGAGTAGGAATTTCTGCATATAAATTAAGACGAGTGTTTCCCTACATTCGAAAAATAACACAGTCCTGCTTATAAGTCGTACACAGCTAGTGCCAGCAGATAATATTGGGACAATATTCATGAATTTTGTGCATTTCGTGAATACTGCATAAATCTATCCATTTTGAGACATCCTGTATATAGCCTATTCTGTATCCTAAATTAAAGCCAATGTTTTCTACTTTTCATATGCCAATAAATTCTGACCATAAATCAAAACTACAATAACTGCTCGAACAGTCACATATTTCCCCAAAGAGTAAAACATTTTGTAATTTGAGTTACAAGTCCACACAATTGCATATTTCAACTTGCATTTCATAAAATGTGAACACTTTGCCTCACATTGACATCTGCCTGACTATATACAGGGTGACACAAAATGCTACCAATTTTGGAATAACCTTCTCAATAATTAAGGAATCGTCATGCTTTTGATGTGTAGATAGTGTTCAATGAAGGAAAGTTTTGTATGCTTACATAGTATCATCAACTTGGAAATTAGGAGATATATCATTTTCTGCGAAAGCACGCTCTGACACGGAAACATTAAAAATGTAAATTAGAAGATCCTACTTTTCTTAAATTCACACAAAAGTGACTCAGTTCATCAAATTTGACAATTTCTTTTAAAAAATGGGTAGATGTGATATATTATCGATAATATATGTGAAAACAATCCAGAAATGACTCAAATAACGGCAAAGACAGAAATCCTAATTTCGGAAAATTGTTTTTTGAATATCTTTTGACAATTTCTTGGAGAGAATACCTGGATGGAAAACGTGATATCTCTAAATTGCACAGTTGTTGATGCTGTATAAGTACAACATTTTTTCCTTCATTGGAAACTTTATCTACACATTAAAAATCATGAAAATTCCTTAATTATTTAGAAAGTTATTCCAAAATTAGTGGGTGTCATTTTTGTACCTCTATATTTCTTTCAATGTAGGCGGACAGAGTTAGGGCTTAATTTTAGATGCAAGAATGACAATGGTCCATGTTGCTTGTCTAAATAATATCTCAATATTTCCTTCTCCAGGCTGACAGTGGTGGACCTTTTGTATGCAAGAATGAACATGGTTGATGTTGTCTGGCTGTATTATTTTATCTATATTTCCTTCTCCAGGCTGACAGTGGTGGACCTTTTGTATGCAAGAATGAACATGACCGATGGACCCTGACTGGCATAGTGAGCTGGGGATCAGGTAAATATGTTTCATCAGTCATGTACACCATAGTTTTATTTCACACAAAGTACAGGCCTAAGTAAATTAACTATGGTATATGTAAAATTAGAATTGCTTTTTAAAAATCTGAGCTTCCAAAAATGAGATTTTCAGTGTTATTTAAATGTCCCAATGATACCAGGACTAAAGCATTATGGATTAATGTAATAAAAATTGTCTTTTTGAACTAAAATTGATAGATAATAGACTAGATATGCGAGTAGAAATAATCTTGATTTACGTCATTAAATTCAAAATTCAGCCAAACTGATGTCATATTTGAAATCTGCATATAAAAGTACATGTAGAAATGTGATTTTGAAAAGAGTTTATCAGCTTTGAAAATTTAATTTTCTTTGAAAATGTGAGTTTTAGGTTAGAGAGATTCCCCATAGACCCCATGTTGTAAAATCACAAAAAGTGAAATATCTTTTCTTGTGTTGGGCAGATGATATTTACTGGACACATAATGTATTTGTATAATTAAGTATCTGATGAATATTCAAGTTTAAGGGAATTTTGTAATACCCTTCGGCTGCCATGTTATTTCCCCCGAATCAGCCACCTGGTGGCGAAACTGGTAACTACCTACTCGCATCTGAGTAATTGCATTGAACTACAGTAGCCTGTGTTTGGCAGTTGTTAAAGTAAACATAACTAGGTTGCGAGAACAAATAAAATTATTACATTTGGAATATAATTGAATAAAAAAAACTGGCGTGGCATTGTTGCGCAAATAATTTGTCTAAGATAGGGGAGAAAACTTTCTGAGCCCAATAAATATTCTGGCCGAAGAAAAAACTGTTCGGCGCCATTTCCAAACTGTGTGGTTCGCCCTCCGAGTAAGTACGCAGAATAAACATAGAATATTTGGAACGTAATAATACCATCCATACTCTAGAGATCTACTGACATTTAAGATATTGAAGGCAACAAGAGGATTAATAAGCTGTCTTAAATTAATCATCTGAAATATTACAACACTTGTGTTTAACGTTAGAATCGTACTGGATGAGATGCGTTATTTCTAAAATACACCAGACACATCGCTAGATATACCAAAGTTCAATAAATTATTCAAAGCTGTGTTGGGGTAACACGTTTTTAAAACCAATGATTGTATAATACTATTTTAATAATATTAATATAATGTTACGTTGTCGTTGTTACGCGGTAAACACGATACAAAAATATGTCATATTCCGCAACGTATATGGAATATTCACTTGCAGTGTATGACAGATTCACCTGCGGTATATGGCATACACACTAACCAATGAGAACGTGATACGGAAGTACGCAATTGTCAATTGCATCGATTAAACGAACAAGTAAAACGTTATAAATTATTATAATGATTACTGAATCAAGAGTCCTGTGTATCGAATATATCAACTTAGCAGAAGTATCAGTCACCAATCTCGTGTAATAGACTTACTCAATCAATCCAGGATTCATATATTAGTACTCGACGCACTAACTATATTGGTAATCCAGCGTAGTTTTGCATTTAGAGTCGATTCTCGCAACCAATCAAATCAAGGCTTTCTGTATCACGTTTTCACCTGCGGTATACAGTGTATGTCATATTCACCTACGGTATATGGCATATACCGCAAGTGAGTATGACATATTCCGCAGGTGAGTTTAGGGTATTCACCGAATTCAATATATCGCATATTCACTGCGGAATATCGCATACTCACCTGCGGAATATGCCATATACCGCAGGTGAGTATGGCATATTCACCCGTATCACAAATACCGCGCAACCATGAATGTATGCCATATACCGCGTAACAGTCGTACTTTCTGGAGGAGAGTGTTTGCTTTGTTGCCAAACTATTTTGATGTCCTAAAATGAAGTTTAAGCCTTTTCGACTATTTGCAATATCACGATGGCTATCAGTTAAACAATATTAACCGAAAGATCACATAAAAGATCAATGACAATCACTGAAACAACATTAACCGATATAGATCATGTGATAGATTCATAATCAATACAATACGCCCGCTCAATCATTTGCCTGTACATTGTCAGTTGCATTTCGAAAGTTGATTGTGATGTCTGTTGTTCTCGTTTAAATTACACAATTGGTTAAAGTAGACAACTATAAGATATAGTAGGGAGAAGTAATTGTAAATTGTGTGACGTAAAGTACCCGCATACCCAAAAGTCATGTTACCATATTAGCCATTATTTTTGACTTTATTATTTAAGGAATCAATAACCATGGAGATATTTTTTGAATGTATGTGAAATTTCATGAAAAAATATCCCTGGATTTTTTGGATAACCCGGTAATTGTGGCTAAACGATAACGTTGTGACCGTTTAAATTGCACACTTTCTCATGATTATTTGACATCAACCTAATGCTTACACCAGGAATGTAATAATTTAAGATTTTTTTAAAATGTCCAATATTATGAAATGAAGAGAATAGTTGCACGTCACGAACCATATGAAAATATTTTCAATATACCAGGCATCAATATATTCACGTAACTAAAAGGCATACAAAATCCGGCGCTATCCCCTCAACCTTATTTACAGACCAGTACTAATTACTACTCTTCTATTCAGTTATCTACAAATTACCAGCTGATTCTAATCAGAAAAGGTCAAACTAAAAAAGAAATATAAGTCAAGGTCTTGTTATTGCCCCCGTATAGCCAGCATACACTTTATTGATGTTTTCTCTGCAGTCAGTTGGAAGGAACGCTGGGCGTTCGCAGGTGTTCTGTATTATTTGATCATTATCTCCATAACCAGATGGTTCAAACCTACCAAAAATACAATTTGTGGAATCTCAGATCCAAATTTAGGCCATTATCTACCACAGCCTGTTCTCACAAACTATTTTAGTCTTGAAAGATTTAGAAACCGTAACGCATCATAGTTTCCCGTAACTAGAAGAACACGGCGAAAGCACTTGTGAAAACAAGACTTCGACAACTCCGCACATTTGAGTTATATGATCCAGCATTTCGGGTCCGTCAATTTTCTAATTAAAGGCTCACTTTGCGTATTTTCAGCGTTTTTGGCAAAATAAAGACTTACATTTGAATTTCAGAGTATGTCCAATGTATTGATTAGAACCTTATCTTTCATTTGACACCAACAACAGCTCAAACGGACCACATCAAAGCTTACAATAAATTATCAAAAAGTATTTTTGATTTATCAAGCTTTATATATCAAGTTTTTATAAATGTCATTGAAAGATGGCAAAGTTGTTTGTATTCATTTTTTATAGAAGTGTTGCCATCTTTCAAAACATGCACTTTGTTTAACATGTGCCTGCACTTCTAATAATCTCTGCTTTTTTCTATTTGAGTTTTTTTCTTGGTTCAATATTAAAGCAAATCAAACTTTGTGTCATATTTGATATTACCAGGTATTATAATGTGTCCAGTCCAGTAATTGATATTCGCTCGTATTCTGTGACTTCTGTCCTAGCTACTTATAGTACTTTTACAAAAAGTTGAATACAATAACAGAGACATCTAAAACATATGGATCTACCTCAATAGAATTTCATTAATTAAAGCTCCTGACCAATTGTAGTTTAATTAATTAGAAATTACAACAAGACCTATTATACTATATAATTGTTTTTGAGTACTCAGTGTTTTTCCGTTTCTCAATAAAAATATACTCATGTTCATTTAAGGTATTTAGTGAACATAATGAATGTGTTATTGTTGATCATATAAAATCATAGAAAGTCACATTTTCTCGAAAAATGGTAAATCTCGGACACGTGATACCTAAATTAGATGACACTTTTCCAGCCTTATAAAAAAGTTGCAAATTATTTTTTGGCACACCCTGTATAATATTTAAAACACGATTTATTCTTCCTTTTAACATGGTAAGACAGTCAACATTGGTTAATTATTGAAATAGTGTTAAAATATTGGTGTAGTAGTATTTAAATAGTAAATGAAGGATAAAAACAAATTTTCAAACTTCACATGGGGACTTTAAGGAAATGTGTAATGTAAATATCAAATAAGCTGCGTGTACATATATGGCTTTCTATCTATCCTCTCCCCTTTTTTCATCTCAAAACTCGGGCAATACTTAAGATAGTAGCCATATATTGAAACCAATGTTTTAAAGGTTTCGAGGTCAAAAATAAATAGATAGTACATAGTATTTAAAAATCATCTCGTTTTCTCTTTAATTCTCATACTGGTACATGTAAGCCAGCTAAGAATGATCTGTGTCTGATGGCCCAGGCCTTTGTAGACGACAACAGCTTCCCATCCGGGGATTTCCCTCATTAACTAAAACATGTCTGATTGCCCAGGCATGTGTAGAAGACAACAGCTTCCCATCCGGGGATTTCCCTCATTAACTAAAACATGTCTGATGGCCCATTTCCCATCCAGCAGGGGCTTCCCTTATTAAATTAAAAAGATCTCTGATTGTCTAGGCCTGTATAGTAAACAGTTTCCCATACAGAGGTTCCCTTATTATAGATAAACACATCTCTGATGGCCCAGGGCTGTGTAGTAGACAACAGTTTCCCATCTAGGGGTTTCCCTTATTAATTTAAAAACATGTCTGATGGCCCAAGTCTGTGTAGTAGACAACAGTTTCCCATCTAGGGGGATCCCTTATTATAAATAAAAACATCCCTGATGGTTTAGGCCTGTGTAGACGACATCAGTTTCCCATCCAGGGATTTCCCTCATTAATCTAAAAACATGTCTAATGGCTCAGGCGTGTGTAGTAGACAACAGTTTCCCATCCAGGGGTTTCCCTCGTTAATCTAAAAACATGTCTGATGGCCCAGGCATGTGTAGTAGACAAGGGTTTCCCATCCAGGGGCTTCTCTTATTAAATCAAAAACATCTCTGATGATCCAGGCCTGTATAGAGTAAAGGGTTCCCTTATTATAGATAAAAACATGTCTGATGGCCAAGACCTGTGTAGTAGACAACACTTTCCCATCCAGGGGCTTC